CACTTTTCATTCTTCTGGTTCATCTCGTTTCCCGCGGTTCAGGGTCTTCTACAGCTACGTTTCGTTGAGTTCGGCAGTAATAGTATTTCCATTCTTCCTGTTATTGTCCGCAAAGGGGGTTGGAGTGGTGAGGAAGAAGAAGACGACGAATGCGAGCCCGAAGCTTTGCCGAGTTTTGCCGAAGCGCACGCTGCATTGGCGAAAGTGAAGTCGTTCTTTTATGCGCATAGTATTAGTGAACGTGACGAGGAAAACATTTTGAACGTGGAAAGTGCTCTGTTTGGTCTAAAACGTAAAGTTTCGACAAACCAGTTGTCCATTAAAGACTTTTTTGGTAAAAAGAAGTAACTTTGAAAGAGAAACATTGTTTTTTTTTAAAATTTTTAATGCTTTCCCGTATCTATCGTTTTCCCGCATTCATCGTTTTTATTTCCCACCCCCGCCGAAAACGATGCATTGAGGTTTCACTGTATTTCTCTAAAATCCTGATATCTACCTGTATGACATCACAACCCAGAACAACAACTCACCAACAGTTTTTATTACTGCAAGATTATTAATAAGAAGGGTAACATACTCAGTTAAAAAGCAAGTATGACGAATGGCAGGTGGCAGGCACTGCCTATAGGGTGGTTTTCACTTCTATAACCTGGCCAAAATCAAAGAATGTTGTTAATAACTTAATTTTCATAGGGTACCACCTAATACAACTAAATCCCAGTTACAATAATTTGACTTGCATTCCAAGGGTACCTGGTTTGAACCTATGCTAGAATCCAAATAGGCAACAACTACAACCTCCCCAACTATTTTCAGCTCACTATACATAATAATAATAATAATAATTCATTTGTCCCTATATAGCTGTGGCAGTTGAACAAGCTTTGTTAAGCAACATATGAAGAAGGGCACCATAAGAGATAGTATGTGAATTATACTCACAACAATGGCATAGAGATGATACTTGAGATCAAATGGATCAGTGCCCAAGTTCAACCTGTGCTGATGGAAGTCCTGAAGAGCACTGTCAGTGACTGGGGTACGAACCAAGGATGTGGATTCTAACCGTTCTCTTGCCAAAACAGAAAGGCGAAGATTTGGGACATCACCATTTGCCAAGTTTCTCTCTGCATAAAATTGAGATATGACTGTGTTACTATGATTCTGAAGTGAAATAATTGTTTTCAGATAAAGGAGTTTAGCATTTGGCACTACAGAAGCACTTTAAAAATAAGCCAGTTTTTAATATAAAAATTAAATAATAACAAATTTCTTTGAAGACAACACAGAGAATCACTAAAAGACTGGTTTCATTCTATAAATAGTTAATTATTCTGCATATTAACCACAACTGCAACTGAAAGCTCTTATCATTCCGTCATTAATGTCTATGTTTTCCTTCAGTCCTTTCTAAGCTACAAACAAGATTTTTCTGAATAACATGTGTGAGTGCCACATTATAAACTTAAATGCTTACTTTGACTGCAAAGATCTGCCTCTAATAGTCCATCCTCAACTTTGAATGCTTCTAAATTCCTGTCTTCTGATGATATTACTTCCTGTCCCCCATTGAGGGCAAGTGGTGAGTAGATGAAGACTCCACCCACTTCTTCGAACCTCAGCCTTTCCAGCTCCCTGTGCCTCACTACTGTATGTTTAGGTACAGATGCCAAGTAAGCTGTTGGATCGAAGTCTTTGAAAGGGAAATTCACCACCTTCTGAGACTTCACCCATTTTCCATTGACAAACTGGAACCTTTTTAAGTGAACAATCTGCAAATAAACCCACAAAAAATTTAGTCAATGATACTCAATAATCAAGTGTGGCCACAAACTATTTCCATAAATATACAAAAAAAAATCAAGCAGATTTAAGTTTTGATCACACTTCTGTTTCCATTTTGTAATTTCTTTCTTTTCTACATAAAAATGTTCCTTTCACTTACTTCAGTTTTCAGTCCTCTGGTATTAAAGGTCCTGGCCTCTGCCCAAACACTGAGGTAAAGAAAAGTATTTCTAAGGGAATTTCTGTCACTCCTAACCACATGATGAAGGCAAAAATAATGGTCAGCACAGCCTAATGTGAGCTCCAGACCAAGATGAGGACCTAATATTCTTAACCCCTTAAGTCTTTAAATCTATATATGTGAATAACTGTATGGCCAGCAAATCCAGATAATGTGTTTATGGACTTATCCATCAGCATGTATTCTTCATTTTGTTTTATTCATTCTTAACCTTAGAAAGGCACTTCAGATATCTAATACTTACAAGAATTGGAGGCAACCTCCAAATTTGCAGCTTTTTGCTGGCGAGTTGGTGCTCTCGACACTTGGAGCAATAATACTTTTCATCCTCGCCTAGGTGCTCCTCTTTGGTGAATGCTTCAAGGCAATAGTCCAGATTGATGGGCTCAGATTGCTGCTGTTTTGTGAGAGCTACACTCTCATGCTCAACATAAACCTGCAACACATCAGTTCCTGCCACTTAAACATCTAGAACTGATATTCCAGAAAATATAAGGTAATCTGCAAGAAAATTATGTATGCATATGCAAGATGAATAGTAGGAAAAGGAAGGGGCCAAAAATAATGATAAGAGACAGTGCCTATTGCTTCATCCATGCTGCAAACTTTACCATATTCTGAGAAGACTTCAATTTTGGATAGAGGAAGATCACGTCATGTATTAAATAAGTGGAAACATGTGCTCCACCAGAGTACACATATCTTCCGCATTCATTGTCTGCAATTCTGTATACTTCATTGGTCCTGATGTTCATTACGCGTACCCCCGGGGGTACGCGTAATGAACATCAGATAAAAATCTACTGTTCCAATTTCAATTACTACAGTGATCAAACTCAGAGAGAATCAGAAATTAATTTTTCTTGCACCACAAATATTGACCACAGCAAAAAACGGTTCAAAGAAAAGCTGCAGACTTCAATGAGCTCTATATTTTATTTCATATACCAATCTTGTTTGCACAATGAACAATTTTCGAGAAAACCAATAAAGTTTAATTTAAACTTCATGTAAAGTAAGGTTATAATAGACTGATATAAACAAAATTAAATTTTCCTCTACAAGTTTTAGCACCAATTGTTTGAATATTTATTTATGTCAAAATTCATTCAGTAATTTAGAGATGAAGCATACAGAATTACAAACTATATCCCCATTATGTATTCATTTAATTCTGTCCTTGTAAAATATGCATATTTTACTGTGCTGCCTTCTTTCATGCAATGTGTCTGGATCACAAAACTTGTAAGTGCTCCTTCCTTTCCCTGCAACATATTTACAAATTTTTAACCTTATTACATTTTCTATATGGATTTGGAATTTTTAAAGCACCTTCTGTCCATTATGTGATCAAAACATCAAAACAAATTTAAGGCATAAAAGGACAAAATGTAGCATAACAGTTTCCTATGGATCCATGTCTACATTAAATCTGCTTTTATTCTGACTTGATTCTGTTCTCACCCTTTCTTGTGATGTCTGATAACGGAGATGTAATGCTGTGGGATCCCAATCAATGGCAAGATGGCTGCTACCAAAATTGAATTCAGCATCACAGCATTGGATCCGACAGCCACGACAGAACCTGTACCAGGGGCACCATGCACACTGTGAACCGTCTTTCTGTACTGCCTTCAGGACAAATGGGAACTCATAGCCTAGACTGTCATCACTGTTAAGAAAGAAATTACAAACTGTAGTTACCCTTCGGACTCAGAACCAAACCTGGGACTTTCCAGACAGGGAGCAAGCATATTAAACATTCAACTTCAACATTTAATGCAGTCAGAGGAGATGATGCTCAGTAATGAACTAAATCCATGAAGCAGAGCCCTTCTTGAAAACAAATAGTCACTCAGTTGGTCAATAAATTCCCTACCTTTCATGGAATGTAAAATGTTCATTGTGTTTAGAGCAGCCTACAAATGAACCCTATCCTGAGTCAGTCAAATACAGTCCACCCCCCTCCCTCAAATATTTCTTTACTATTTATATGATATCATCCCATTTACATAGATCTTCCAAGCAGTCTCTTCCTTTCAGGTTTTGCATCTCAATTTTTACATGCATATCAAAAATCCCAAATGTCTGTGGATCTCAGAACATGTTTTATTTCCGGCTTCGATGAATTCTGCCAGAAGTTTATCAACACCTGGAGATTTGTACTATTTAAATGTTTCAATAGTATTTCCAACCTCAACACAAAAGGTTCAGGTGCTTTTGGCTCAGTTGTATGCATTTCAGTCTGCCTAAATTCATCAATTCCACATTCATTTAAAAGATGACTCAATAAATATTTCTATCCCTTCAAAACATCTGGAATTTGTAAATATATCAGACATGTCCCTGTATAAAGGTAATATACCAAATAATTTTAAGTTTTCTAATGGTCATTTCCTCACACTCAAAAGTTCTCCCACTAAAACCAGGATATAGAGTCTTCATTTCAATCCTCTTCAATGAACTTGTTGCTATTGCAGTATTCAAGTGGCAATTTATAAGAGTATGAGCTTTATCAGTGACTACTTCTTACAGGCTGCATGGCCAAGATTCAGAATGCAATAAGGAATTTTACTACCGTGACCAGGAATGGCCTCCAGCAACTGCTTAAGTATAAAGGGGGTTGAACTCCATGGCCCCTACATTCCTCCTTAAAAAAGCACAGCTCACTGAACAACTAATGATAAAAAGAAACAAGTTTATAAAAAAATTGGCATCAAATGCAAACTGAAGTTAATTTATTACGAACTGAATGTGTCTTTAAAAGGTTATTCTCAGGTGTATCAACCAATTTACTTGTTATAGCATAAGCAAATTAGATACTTTTCTGTCAGAACAATATTGTAAAAGAAGTTGCTTATACTATAAAAGTAAATTGGTTAATAACCCTGAGGATGATGTTTTAAAACGTTATTTTTTAATTAATGTACCTTCAGTTTATGTTGTAACCAACAGTAATTCTTATATGAATCTGCAACAGTATGCATCCTAAAATGAAAACAGAGTTTAATTTATGTACCAGTCCTGAGCATGATTAGGGGCTGCAGTCTCTGATGGAGGCAAAGGAGATACAAGGCGAGCCACCTGGACCCACACAGCTTGGTACAAATCCTGATGAGTGGTTGACTCACAACAAGGAACAATGAGAGGCAGTCCAAATAAGCTTGGCTTGGTCTTTTGTGATGACATGAAGTAAACATCCTGTCGGATCTGAAATCAATTGCAAAAATATAAAGTATAGAGCAATGTATGCTTTCGAGAAGCCTTTGACAATAGCTGTAAGATATTAAACTTAAAACCTTGCATACTGTGTAGTGTATTGAAATATAAAGCAGAGTTTATATACCCTACACATTTTTAAAACTGACAGTAACGGCCACGCATCATTGAAGTTCACAGGCACAGACAATGCAACCATGGCTCACTGTAGACCAACAACGGCAATCAGACCAGTGGACATAAAAGCTAAGTGCCCAATACAATACACTGACTCCTGTACAATCAACGTCCAGTGAGGTGTTACATAAATATGGTTTTTGTAAAATACATACCTTTTATGCCCTGTTAAAAACCATAAACTTTTTGATTTGTATTACATGAATTAAATTGTTTTTTGCCATTGATGATGACCTCTTGAGGTCGAAATGCATTTGGCATTAGTGTCCTTCAAAGTGTAAACAGTTTTGTTTGTATACATGCTGTAAGATATGAAACACATTTATTTTAACATGTTATGTATTTTCTCCAGTTAGTTCTGCTTCAATAAAATAAAGTGTCTGTGTATCTACTAGTGCAGTGGTATTCAACCTGGGGTACACGAAGACATCTTAGGGGGTATGTGAAATTTAAGAATATATATATATTATTTTATGATAAACACTGAATAATCAGGAATGTAATTTATTTAATTTATTTTAGATGTAGATTATATACTATGTTTAACTTGAATTATACACCAACAACTTTCAGGGTACAAAGTTAAAGGGAAATTATATCTGGGTGTACGCGAACAAAAAAGGTTGAATACCACTGTACTAAGGTATACTCACCAAAATTTAAATGGAAATATACATATCCATTAAATATTTTTCAATTATCCACTGAACTTTACTACAAAACAAACTGCATGGGCTTAAATTCAATCTACACATATAAAATCCAACATATGTATGTCATCCTAAAAGGCTACACTTGTGTAGGCCCTATAAACGTCACAGCCAATGTCTGTCCATAAGGCTAAAAGCCATCTTATAGCATGTATTATTGTGGTCTCACCTTTGTGTTCACATTTAAAGCTTGATATTACAATTAAATTCACTGAATTGGTAAACAATAACAATACAGTTTATATAAAAAATTAAGGCAATTCCAATTTAGTTTCCAATGGGTATTATACCATTTTCACATAAAATTCAAAATTTGATAAACCAGTTTTTTGCAAACTTGTATCAACTGAAGACTTATTTAGCATCAAATGGCATCAGATTATGAATGTCCAGTAACTTCAAAAGGAAATGTCCATGGCCTAGTTCAAGACATTCTGATATTTGGCTGCAGGAACTCGGGAAAACCACAAAAGCCTTATTCATATAATTGGTGACCTGGTCATGATTTTAACCAGGTACATCCCCTGTAACAGTCAGACACAGTATGGTTGCGATAACCTGTTTTGTTTGCAGGAGAAAATTCAAGTTTGCAAAAATATAAAGAGAAATTAAAAGAAGGAATACATATACTATTTCCAGAATGAGAGATATAAAAAATCCTACAAGAAATAACTGCCAACCATTCACTTCTCTTTACTGGTTCTAGCATCAGAAATATAGGCAGTCAACTAGTGATAACTGAAAGGCAGCCATTTATCTGCAAACTTAACACACTACACTATATAACACAAATGATACAAAACCTACTCACCATCTTTCGATGCAAAGCAATAATGAAGCCATGAATTGGGCCAGGCAGCGTGGTCACAGTATCTGTGTCACTTAGCCCTGCTAAGCTTCCTGAGCTAGCTGAGCTGTTCCCACTTGACTGATGCAGCTGTGATACTGGTGACAGCTCATCCACCATTCCGATGCTGGAATTTGATGCCGGTGGTGCAGATGAAGGAGTGGCGGAAGATGACTACAACATGAGCAACCCCACACAATGAGTTCAAAATATCGGAATCAAATATTTGACTCGTTAAAAAATTTCCAGACATCTGTATCTTGAATGTTTAAATACTGAATATTAGAAAAGGCTGCACAACATTTCAAAAGCTTCTTGTTTGTCATAAATAAGGAATGCAATGAAAGTCTACAATCAAGACATGTATAGCTTGCTTGAAGTTCAAGATATCTAAACATACACTTTTTGCTCACAACAGACTGAAAATTTATTGACAGCAAACACCTGTAAACTATGCATGAAACATACACATGAGAAGCCTGGAAAAATATTTTAGCAATTATATATACAAAACGTAACACCACAACCCATGCAGCATATAGCACTACTGCAATAAACAAATAAATAACTAAATACCTTACTTCAGGAAAGATATTTCAGAAAAATAAGACAATTAAGAATAACACTAAAATTAATAGCACTAACAAAACATTTCCTCTGCAGTAATTGTTAACATAATGATAAAACATGCAAATAAAAGCCTGTGCAACAAACATTTAAAAATAAACTTCAACTTTTACATAACAACTAAATTATATACACAGTACATATTTCATTAACCGAGCAAAACACTAAATATGAATTTGAGAAGCCTATAATCACTCAGCTAGTCAAAAGATTCCATGCATTTTATGGAATCTGAATGTAACTTATTTTGTTCACAAGATCCCACCACCAAACTCTATCCTAAGCCAACCAAATCCAATCCACACCATCCCAACCTGTTTTCCCTATATTTATTTTAATATTATCCTCCCATCTTCAAATCTGAGAAATGGCACATAAAATCTAACCAACTACTAACTAACTCCAAGGAGCAGAGTCCTTGAGAAATCAACACTGCTTTTCAAATATGTTGTTTTTAATTGATGGGTCTTATATTTAACACTATTAAACTTTCTATTGGCAATTCCCAGTACACTAAATGCTCCTGACTTGTGCTTTGTGGTAGAGATCTTGAAAGTTGGCATTCTGTGAAAGCTAAGTAATTAATTTTGGGTTATTAGTACCTCCAAAAATATGGAGTCCTGACAAATACATAAAAGCAGAAGAAATAATCACCAGTTAATTTACATTTAGACTTTGGGGTTGCATTTTAGAAAGAACTTCCCGTATCACTATACATACACACAAATCTGCAAGTGTGGGTGAACTGAATAAATATAGAAACATGATATTGGCTTCCACAACTAACTCATCTGTTTTTGATGTATTAGATACTTTGAACCTCCCAAGTTCAATAAAATTAAATTATAACAGAAAAGTAATCTCAGGTGCCTCAATAGCTGGTTGTCAACAGGTTAATTAAAACAAAGTTAGACATAATACAGGCAAAGACCAACTAAATGATGCTGTAACATACATTAAAATTACAAAAAAAAAGTGTGTATAAGAAGAAAGTGTACTTAGTAAAAGAAATCTCACAAACCTGGCTTCTGAAACCTGTGTATTAATTGCTATGAAAGAGCTTAACCACTACTTATACCAAGGTAGTCGGTTTGCAGCAATTCTTGCCAATGAGGTTTTCAACATTATTATTCTTCAATATGTCCAAGTACAAAAATCAGAAACTGCATATCAAGCAAACTGAGTATCCTCAGTAGAGAGTGGAAAATAAACAATCCAGTTATATAATACTGATGGTGCAAGGAACAGATATAATTAAATATGAGTAACATGGTGTTCAGTAAGTCCTAATCATCCTTTATGTTACATTAGATATCAAAGGGGCAATCTGAAAATAACTTATCCACTTTCTATATTTTCTCCTACTCCATTAAATGAAATTAGGCAAAGATAAAGATTATAATGTTCTTCTGGGTTTTGGTACTGTGTAGACTTGTCAAATTCCAACATTTCAGAGAAACATACCATCTCCATCTTCAGTGCTGAAGTCAGCCCTGAAACAGTGATGAGTCTACACGGTGCAAACACCCACAAGAACAATAGTCTCATTGTCATGATAACCCTATATGTTACATAGCTAAACATGTCCATGTCTAAACACCATATTACAGAAGCCTAAGGAGAGGTGATCATGAAGTTCTATATGCATCAAAACTTGGCACAAGTTGAAAGTGAACAGACAGCTTCATCCTGTGGGTGCCTTTATCCACAGAAGAAGAATGGAAAGGGAAAAAAAAGGAGAGAGAGAGAGCACTCCTGGTTCCCACCAGACAGGACTTAAGGTGGGTCTCAGAGCCATTACAGACATGGTAGTGACAATAAAACCCTAGTTGTTCTGTATGTTCCCATCACTTCATTGATTGAGCTATCACAATTATGATGATCTACTTTTAACAATAAAAATAATATATTGTCCATTTCCACACAATAAGAGGTTGTACAAATTATAGGCTCATATACTGTATTTTACAATACTGGACAGCATGTTTTGTTCGTAATAGAATTTAGATTTATAACCACAGTACAGATATAACTTGCACATTTAATGAAAAGAAACAGAATTTTATTCCAACTCAATGATCAAGATGTATTTATCTGTCCATCCATCCCTCACTTCAAATAGATATCAATATTATAGGATCCAATTGACTGACTTTCTTGTAAGTGGTCTATATATGAATTTGAGGCCAGCACAACCTTGTACTTTTCAAACTCTCTATAATCAAAATCACCAACATTGCATCCATGCAAACTTGTGTGGTAGAAATTAAATTAATTGCTTGTAAACTAGCATAGTGTTCAGAAAGTCTCAGGCTTGATTCCAACCACTGCTACTAATAGAATAAAAAAAATTGTTGGTAAAATGATGAAGACACGAGTAGAGCCAAATCCTGAAATGCTATGAAATTCAAATGTCTCTGCCAATGTATAATGTCTACATTACATTAACAATTATCAAAAACTATAAAATAGTTGTAATAAAATTAGCATCACTCAAAATGTAATTATTATTATGCTACTTGCTTACGGAAATGGAAAATAATCTAGTAATGGTAATGTATTATAAATATGTCTATTAGAATTTGCCTAACCCTTTGGAACACAAAAAAATGCAAGTTAATTCATGACACAAGTTGTGAGTACTCTTAATACAGTGAAACCTCGATGCATCGTTTTCGGCGGGGGTGGGAAATAAAAACGATGAATGCGGGAAAACGATAGATGCGGGAAAGCATTAAAATTTTAAAAAAACAAACAATGTTTCTCTTTCAAAGTTACTTCTTTTTACCAAAAAAGTCTTTAATGGACAACTGGTTTGTCGAAACTTTACGTTTTAGGCCAAACAGAGCCCTTTCCACGTTCAAAATGCTTTCTTCGTCACGTTCACTAATATTATGCGCATAAACGAACGACTTCACTTTTGCCAATGCAGCGTGTGCTTCGGCAAAACTCGGCAAAGTTCGGGCTCGCATTCGTCGTTTCTCGCTCTTCTTCAACGCTCCCTCAACCTTCGCGGACTATAACAGGAAAAATGGAAGTACTATTACTGCCGAACTCAACGAAACGTAGCTGTAGAAGACACGATATGAACCAGAAGAATGAAAAAGTTTCGCTCGCCTTTCCTTTGTACTTATAATAAAAGCATTTGTGAAGAAATTCACACTGCACATGCCATCTGGCATCGCTGGAACGAAATATGAGTGCACCCAAATTAAAATCGTAAAATTCCTGACAATGGGCACCGCCATTCACTCCAACTATCACCCCTGCACCGCTGACCCCTCATTCCAAAAGAATCTGTGCTGGTTGGGCGACATAACAGGTTACCGCTACTGTTTATTCCAAAAACATTGTGCGTCTTTCGGAATTAAATTCTAAAAATATCACGTAAATTTCGTTACAATTTCTCAGAAACGATCATTGCGGGAAAATTGTGTGCTGGGACTAAGATTTTTTAAGGATCGATGCGATAAAACGATAGTTCGAGGAACGATAGAAGCGGGAAAATGTAACATTATTTTATATGGGATGTATTCGGGACCGAACAAAACGGACGATGCATCCGGGAAAACGATAGTTCCGGGAACGATGGATAGAGGTTTCACTGTATATGGCTTTTTGCTTCACCTCAGTCAAGATAAATTATGGTATTATGCTGCCTTAAAACAGGCATTTCTGTCAATCATCTCTAATTATTTAACCATTTATTTTCACAATAAAGTCACAGATGTAAGATTATGGAAAGAAGGGATGAAAAATGGCAAAAGCAAATGCAGTAACTAGCATGACAGGTAAGATACTGGGACAGGAAAAACAGTCCTGTTTACTGGCTTGAAACCAAACAGTAGAGTAAGGAACACCATACCTTGAAGCATAAGAATGCAGCAGGCATGCAGAAACTGTGGTGCCACCTTACCTCCACAGTGGTGGCAGCTGGCACTGGAGGAGGTTGAGAAGGACTTGATGATGCTTCAGAGGACTCATCTATTACAGTTTTACTGTTAATGGGTTGCTGTTTTAAACAACTAATGTCTCCTCCAATACTGTTGCCAATCTTCGTCATTCCTGCCAAAATCACATTCAAAGCAAGGCACAGTTTCATTACAGCAAGTTTTACTGTACAATCAAAAATACTCTGGTTCTAATATCATTTATTCTAAAATATTCAGTACTTATCTTTCTCTAGATAATGGGAACATTAATCACAGTTTGTATTAAAGCAACTTCCATCTTCTATCTCTGTCACATCATTCCCAATTTTTATCCAGTCCACACACCAGTATCATAACTGTATTCATTAAACAAAACAATGTTGCTTGCTCTAAGTCCCATTTTCATATTTTATTTTCCTTTCAGCTCAATCATACAAAATATATTTCTGACCCCTGCTTTCCACTTATTTTACCTGCTGACTGTTGTTTGGGCTGGATGGAACGTTGAATTGCTGTGAAAGTCTGTGCTTCTCTCTGTGATTTGAGTGAACACAATGACAGTCGCTCCTCCTCCCCACCTGACAAGGAGCCTGAACTCATATTCTCAGGCAGTTCATATGCATACAATGAACTGCTAGCCAATGTTTTTATCTTCTGGTCATCTGGAGGAACATTCTGTAACAGCAAACCAAGACTTTTCTCAGATACAATGGGCCTTTGACATCCATCATTAACTGGTTCCTCAAAAGTGCAACAGACAACGAACTGATGGATACACAGAAATATACTTCTGTGTTACGATGACAGTTTGTTCCAGAGAAGTCATAAACTTGAGCATCAAACTAATTTTTTGTGGAAATAAACACCAATAAAGACTAGCCTCAACATCGTGAAAAATCCTCTTTGCCTTGTGCTTTATCAAAGTGGAATTCACATTATCTCCCTCACAAAAAATTGTCTAGAAATGGTTTGAAAACCTCTTATTAGGAATGCTCCTGTTAAATTGACACTATCGAGCACAGATTACCAACTGCTGAGTGACAGGAAGTGAAATATATGATGTGAGGCAAGTGGAAAAATGATGATGGATATGAGACCCTACAATAGATAACTTTGGCAGAGCTGAACTCTACTCCTATACCATTAATGCATGACAAATTTCTGAGGAAAAATAAATTGCCCCTTTATGCAATAAAAGCTGAACTATTTACATACAACTATGAAATATTTGTACTAGAGTAAGTTCTTTCTCTTCCTGTTCACTTGCATGCAAACAATTGGTACTTGTAAATAACCATGGCAGCATGCTCATCTGATATGTAATTATCTGAAACTTCAAGAGAGATACACACCCTGATCTGGGCTGCTGTGACCTCAGCTAGCCTGAGGAGATGAGCTGGAATCCCACAGAGGCCAGACAATGCACTTTTCACACTGCTGTACTTCTCATCCATATTCAGCCTCAGGCCATACTTCACAGGAACTGACCCATCCAATCGGATAACTGTTAGGAAATACAGGTAATAAACTCCTTTCAAAATATAATTATGCACAGTTATAGCACAACTGTTCATCAATTAGTAGCAAAGACTGCTGATTCTTAAAGTATTTAATGACAATGTTTCAAATGCAAATGTTACAGTATTAAATAAGATACCAAGATATTCATGAATGATAAGTTAGAAAGGATTTCAAAGAAGGCAGTCACAGCCTACTGCAATGTACTATCCTGGCATATGCCTGGACAGAAATTAACAAGCCACAAAAAATTCCTTCAGTCAGGAAAAATGATAACAAAGTCAAGAGCTAAACTAGGTACCTCCTGAATATGAGTATTAGAGTATTACTGCAACACAAATCTGTCCATCAATAAATAAAAACACAGACCAAACAAAATGCTAGTCAAGTGTATGTATATTACTGAAAACCACATTTTGCATGTTTACTGTATTTACCCAACTTTACAATGACATCAGATATAAGATGAACCCTCCTTTCCTTTAAGACAAAATAATTTATTATTTGCCCAGATCAAATTTAGGCACAATTCTCCAACACTAGCATAATTAGCACAATGGCTTTAAATAAATATACGTGGATTAATTACATATACAAGTAAGGTGGTAAGAGCAATAAAGCTACTGATTACTGCTTTGGAAATATTCTCATAATAATATATAGTAGTCAATGGATACACAAGTTTCAGTGTAAGCCACAGCCACCAGATGATAATTTTCACACAAAGAGTTGAATAAAACATTTTTACACATATGCAAATATAAGACAATATCCAATTTTTAATTAAAATAAAAGTTGGGTATATATGAGATATTAATGAAGTCCACTGCAGTTTTTGTTGATTGAAATAACATATTAATGAAATGTACATCAAACCTATGACCTACTACAAAAGAAAACAAGATCAACTAAAAAGATAGCTTACCAATGACCTGAACATGGACATAGCTCTCCATAGGTAGGGGTAGAGACAGGTAGTTGAAGGGGTCAAACCGAACACTTTCATGTCCACACACTTTGCATGTTACTTTGGACTTGAGCTGACCATGAAACAAATCCACTATGATGGACTTGTTGCGAAGAATGTGATTTTCCCAAGCCTAAATGACAAAAAATTACACTTATACTTTTATTTTTCATAGGGATGGTAGATAACAAGTGAAAATCAAGAATTAAATAAAGAAAAATACTTCTGAAATAATGAATAGGATTAAACCTCACCACTAATAGAATTCTCTTTTTTGATTTCCCTGAGTTTTTTTTATTTGTTGACTCATGAGAACAAGAATACAAAACCATATTTGTTTATGCACAGTTACTTATACTTAAGCTCATCTTACTTTCGTATAACATTCCTTATGAGTCTCTGAAGATTTTTTAACTCTACTCAATTGTTTTAATCCAGCTTTGAAGAGAACAAGAAATACTGTAGCATTATTCCAATATCCAGTTCTGAAAGAGAAATTAAGGCAGATCCACTATTGCAACATATAGTGGGATAATATAGGCCAACACATTATGGATTACGGGTTATGGCCAATCAGATTTTGAATATGGCCTCAAACTTGTGGTGGTAGATTAGTGTCATAACAAGTAATGTACATATATAACTTGTCTGTAGGAATTTAAGTTTTCAAATGCCTGTACTTTCGGTAGTTTCATTTACAGATAAACTTATATTTTTCTTTATAACATAGTGGACACATTTAAAATAATTTGTAATATTCTGCACAGCCTACAAAACTACCATTAACCAGTCTCTAGTAACACAAACTTTACCACATCAGGTAATACAAAAATTAAAACTGTTAATCTTTTGCAGTTTATTATATTGAATGTATAAGAAAATGGGGCAGCAACTGAAGGCTGTTATGTTTACATAGTTAGAGATCTAAAAAAGAAATTTATTGTTGAAACAATAACACTTTTCATAAATGAGTTATTTTCATTGCTGTCTTGTATAATAAATCAACAGTGACATTACAGAATGAAAGAGAAACATAAAATAAAATTTCATATGGGTACTGCTATGAAAAGTAAGTTCATAAGTTCAAAGTAACTCTATTCATAATGCTGGATGCAACACAGCTTACTTACTCATCCATTACTTCTTTCTACCCATCATTGTTTCCAGTCATCCAAGTAGCAGGCATCATTTTGCTCCTTGATCTTGGCAATAATGTATGTGGAATTGGTATGTACATATGATGTATGAATTGAAAACACCCTTACTTTGTTAGCATCTACTTATTAGGTACTCACCTCCTGTGCAACAATAACATCAGGACGGCCATCACTGTCCTTTAGTTCAACATATGGTTTGTCATAAACTCTGTTCAAGTCCTCATGTAAGCCATCCAAGAGAAATGCAAGAAGCTCTTGAGAGTCATGCTGCTGGAAACCATTGAACCTAGGAGCATATTTCCCTATTGTCCACTGTAACACACAGCAAAGCAAAGTTTGAGAGAGAGAAATCTGTTAACTAAACAGCTGTACAACTGAACATGTAGAAATGATAAAGGTGTGATAAGAAACTTCTCGAGTCCTCATGTTCTGAGACATTATTTAATTTAAACTTAATAATTTATCTCTTCCTTCCAAACTGATTAAATTCACAATCAAAGAAAACAATAGCTCTGCCTCTTTCACATGCATGTGCAAATAAAAATACAGGAACACAAGATTAATCTAAGAAGCAAAAATGAAGAATATTACACAATACAGAGCTTTGTGGTTTACAAAACTGCTCTAGTGTTTGTAAGGTAGTCAAATCCAGGAGGTTGAGATGGTTCGGGCATCAGAATACAAGGTGAATTTGGAGACTAAAAAAGACGTGAAGATAATTTTAAAACAAATCTTACAGAAAAACATTGTGAAGATGTGATCTAGATATAATGTGTGCTGACTTGGAATCATGATTAGTGATGTGCTTCTGCATTACCCAAACATTTATTACCATGCCCAGAAATGTCTAAGCCAGAAGAATTAAGTCCACACCCTTACAAAATAATTCTTAAGATCAATTACAAAGTTGTTCTCTCATCCATAACTAGGTCTCCCAAGTGATCTCTTCCCTTTAGGTTTTGCAACTAAAATTCTGCACGCATGTCATATCTTTCCCATACTGCTCCCATCTCATCCTTACAAACATTTTAAAATCATTTTACAGTATGGTCACTAACATCAAAATGCATGATATATACAAACCATCCTTAAACATTACTGAACACTTTAAAAGTATAAAACCAAGGAGAAGTATGTACTTGAAGCTATCAGAAAAAAATTTCTGAGTGAAACATACAGCAATTCAGAAAGAAATATAGCTACAATAGCCAACTGCTTCTGTGAAACTGACTTACCCTCAGTTTTAAAGGAGCTATAGTCTTAGCAGTGCCACTCCATATATCATGGATCAGATCACCGTATCGTTTAGCTATGTGTCCCTTCATTCCTAGCGGGTTATTCCGATTCAGTTCATAAAGGTGCATGTTGCCAGTGAAGTACTGAGTGAGAGCACATGTATTGCTCACACACTGCAGTGCTGCATTCATGAAACACGTGTTACCCAAATTGTTCAGACCAGTAGCTCCCTTTTCCGTAGGTACTGCAAACAGATGACACTCATTACCAATTACATTTTCACATTATTAACAAAGAGGTCTACACCAAGAATTTATGAAACACACTTTATTTAAAAGCTAATAAAATTTACAATACATACTTTTTTCACAGCATAATTCGTGAACATTTTTGCCAAAATTTTATAATAAAAAACAAAAAACTGGGCAAAGCATGTATAAAGTTAATTGAGATAAAAGACAGTCTATCTGCTTCATTTAAACTATACATGCACTTATTACTCTGTCTTCACAACATACACATCATGTTTGCTTGTGGTCAGTGTGTTGCATTTGCATAGTCGCAAGATCATGATGCAGATCATGTGACATACAGCAATGACATAAAATGATTTTAGTTGAACCACATATCTTCACACTCCCTTTAGAGTTTACCCCTGCTACTACCATTTCAGATTTTGTAAACAATTTTTGTTGGCATGTTTTTCATAAGTAACAGTGGAGTGTGTAAAGTATGTGTAATTTATATTTTCTTAATTTCACAATGAAAAATTAGGATGCATGAAATACAGTATATATACATTATAACCAAGTGATATCTTTATGCATTTTCACTAGTATAGATTTCCATTACTTGGAAAATGTCATGTTCCTAACATTTCACACCACTACTAGGTCTGTAATTATAAGCCTGCAAGTAATATTTTTACTCTAGTAACATTTTATCAGAGAATTCTGTTCACACCAGATGCCTGCTTACCCTGCTTACGTTTATCCTGCATTGGTGTGGCAAGTGATCCCATCTCCTCTGGCCAAGTGAGATCTTTGTTCCGAACCTCTATGAGAAGTTGGTCTTCATCTAAAATACCAAGATCCTCCAGTGTTGGTTCTTCATCTTCTATCAGCAGCATGTTGTTCTAATTATATCAATTAAAATAACTACACATTATTCTTTCAATCTGTCTACTGCTAATAGCATACCTTAGCATTAAGGACAGTATTTGATGGGCTGCAGTACCTCTACCTTCCAAAGGAAATATAATCATTAGTCTTTTAATTGTGATATTCAGACATTAATAAGCTTATTTAGAAAGTAAAAAATAGCTTTATACACAAAGCATGAACAAATATTACTCTAATTTATTTGAAAAAATCATAAATGTAAACAGACAGTATATTTGTTCATTTAGTAAACTGACCTCATCACGATAATGCCAAAGACGCATGTCTTCTGGTCGAATCCTCAGACGAGAACATAAGAAGTCATATACTTGCTTAACTGTTGCCATGCGACTGAATGCAGCCACATAGGCTAGGTAACGTTTTGGAGGTGTTGGTAAGTTTGACACATATGCATAGCCTGTTGTGCCTGAAACAAACAGATCCATTAAATTTGTATTGTGCCAAAATGGAATGTAATATCGTAATACGATAAAAAGAGCACCAAAACATAACATAACGTATTTTATATATTTTATATTTATATTGTGAATGTTATAATACTTTAACAACTCATTTTAATAAGTTTGTGTATAGACGGCCAAAATAAATATGTGTATTAGATCCATTAAAATAGGATTGAATTTCACACAAAGACTGACAAAATATGGCTACAGAATTCTCTTACAAATTTATAGCAAATTATACTAATTGTTAAGCATTATACTACAAGATGATGATAAAACATACAAGCACATTTCTTATTATAAAACTGTTCACTGTTAAAACTTAAAAGAGCTGAGAAAACCTCTGGCTGTTGAAATTGGCAATGGGGATCAAAATGTACATTTCTGAATGTGTTTGTGTTCTGCTAGGGCTTTATATGAATGTGAATTAGTGTACGTGTTTATGGCTTACTGAGTGCAGCTGCTCCATAACCTCCTACCATTCCAGACCATGCTGTCTGTGGAGCACGAGCTGGTTGAGCCTGGTGCCGAAGCAGGCGAAGATTCAATGGGTATAATTCTAGCTCCACTTGCTGACTGTCCCTGGGAAGTATTACCTACAATAAAACACCACAGTAAAAATTATATTCTATATATGAATCACAGTAATACTTTCAACCTCAATTAATCACATCATTTCAAACACTTCTTAATGTTTTAGCTATAAAACAACAAAGGGGAAAAATACACAGTTTAACCTCAATACAACAAGAACTTAAAAACTCAGAAAATACATATTATAATGGGTAATCTATTATCAAAAAATGATTGAAATATGTATCTTCAAGCCCATCACCTTTGAAATACATAATCTTCATGCTTGTCTTTTAACAAACAATTAAACATGTTACAAAAGAGTACAAACATTAAAAAAAATGTTGGAAGAAAATATTTATTTTTTCTGCAATGATTATCACAGATCAAATCAACACTCTCAACAACTTTAGCATTATCTGGACTGAGAAGTTGATTTTCTCTTACATTACCTCTTGTACGCACAAACCGATTGCTTATTAGAGCAAGAATGCCACCCACCATTCGCTCTTGCAAGTTCCACCCAAATTTCACTCATAAATAGCTGTGCGTACATATATGACATTCAATGTATCAGGTTGTATGGAATTTGAACAGATAGATACAACACACAAAGCAAATAAAGTCGAACATCAATGGCCTTCTAACATACAGAATGCTGATTGTATTATGTATCTGTTATTCAAAATGAAGATCATCAGAGAAAATCCATACAGTCTTCCTATTTCACTATCTGAAAGCTGCTGACTTCACAGAGACATACTTTTATTTCAGGCTCTGCATTCAAGTATAAGCAATTG